TCTCAGGGGAGGGTGAGCTCTCTCTCTCTCTCTCTCTCTCTCTCCCCCTCCCTCTCTCTTTCGGACAAAAACGAGGCGATAATGGTCGAGGAACGTAAAGTTCGTTGCTAGGAACGGAAATTTCGTTGGAAAAACGAAAGGGTAGATAAAGGCGCTAATAATACCTTCCCCGACCTGAACATTCTTTCCCGAAGAGGGTTACTTCGAGAAAGCGGATCTCGTCGCGCAACAAGCGACTCTTAACCGATTACCAAATACAACGCGACTTTTCAGTCCTTTCCAAGTCCATTTCTTTCCACGACGAAACGTTCGTCGTCGAAATCGTTATCGACGCCTTATCGGACGACAAACTCACGCATTTCCCCGTTTTCGAGAACCAGTGTCCTCGATTACAAGCGGCGATCGCCGCGTGCTTTTAAATAAACATGAGACACGTCTCGCGGAGAGTCACGACTCGATGGAGTTCGACCGTGACGAGAAAGAGAGAGAGAGAGAGAGAGAGAGAGATCGTAGCGGATTGTGTAAAGACGATAACGGGAACACCGATAAGATTAAGCAGCACGGGTACAAAGAGCCGTGTGGTGTAGGGAAACCGTGTCGACGACGAAACGATTTTCCCTCGATCTTCAAAGGCGGCCGTCGTGTCAACCGAGAGATGACCGAGCCCCTCCAAGTCCATCGCGTTCGAGGAACAGGGTATTTAAAATATCGTCGCTATAAACGGTTCGAGCGAGCTGTGCACGCGCTTCCCAAATACGCGCGACCAATAAAATTGATATTAATGGAGCTGTGTCCCTCTGTTAATTCGTCCTCCCCCCCCGGTTAAATTTTTCGAAGCGGCTTCTTCTTTAACCTTTTGGTTCTTCGACGAGATTAATCTCGTTCGATCGGATCTTTCGAAAACGAAACGTTTCTTCGGCGTTTATTCCACGGACAAGTTCTTTAAAGATAGAATCTTGAAAGGAATTTCGAAGCGCCTCGCCGAAATCGGAGATAAACGAGTCGCGCTCCACGATATTCGCGACAAAAAGGAAAAGGAAAGAGCTGACGACGGTTGAAAAGAACAAAAAG